ACATTAGCTTACTGGGATTGGCATGGTTTGGACCACTGGGGCTAGCCGTCACCGGGGTGAACAACACTAGCTTACAAGTGGACGTGGACGCCATATGCAAGGAATTTCCGGGGGTTTTCGATGGGAAATTGGGACAGTATACGGGCCCCCCCATTGCTCTACAGATTGACCCCGCAGTACGACCGGTCAGGCTCAAGGCCCGCCGGGTCCCGTTCGCCCTGAAACCCCGTATAGACGGGGAATTGGACCGGCTCGTGGAGCAAGGAGTGCTGGAGCCAGTGCCTAATGCCCCCTGGGAAACCCCAATCGTCACACCCGTCAAGCCTAATGGTTCGGTCCGCATCTGCGCAGACTACAAATGCACCATAAACAAGGCCCTCACGGCCCATGCATACCCAGTGCCAGTGGTCAGCCATGTTCTTGCCACCCTGGCTGGGTCGAAAATTTTTGGCAAGCTGGACTTGGCCCAAGCATATCAACAGCTGCCAGTAGATGAGGCCACAGCAGAGGCACAGACGATTGTGACGCACAGAGGAGCATTCAGGGTAAAGCGGCTGCAATTCGGTGTCAGCGTGGCACCAGGCATATTCCAGAATCTGATGGACTCTCTACTTAAAGGGATCCCTGGCGTCACCCCCTTCTTCGATGATGTGTTGATTGCTGGGCCCACACCAGAGGAGTTTGAGGACCGCCTCCGCACCGTTCTGCACCGTTTCCAGACGGCGGGTCTCAAGGTGAAGCGGGAAAAATGTCTACTAGGAGTGCCTCAGGTGGACTTTCTGGGATTTATGGTGGACGCAGAAGGGGTCCACCCAACTGGGGACAAGGTACGGGCCATTTGTGATGCCCCAGCGCCCAAGAACAAGACTGAACTTCAGGCCTTCTTGGGACTATTGAACTTTTACCATTCCTTCCTTCCCCACAAGGCGGCGGTAGCGGAGCCCCTACACAGACTCCTGGACAAGCGGGCCCCTTGGGTGTGGGGCCAGCGCCAGGAGGCCGCATTCCAGGCAGTCAAGGACTTGCTTGTCTCAAACTCGGTCTTGGCACACTTCGACGAGAGGCTGCCGGTGGTGCTAGCATGCGACGCCTCGCCCTATGGAATTGGCGCTGTCCTGGGACACCAACTCCCGGATGGAAGAGAGGTACCAGTGGCATACTTTTCCCAGACACTCAACGCAACCGAGCGGAACTACTCGCAAATCGACAAGGAGGGTCTGGCAATCGTGAAGGGAGTAAAAAAATTCCATGATTTCTTGTACGGGCGGCCCTTCACCGTGGTGACTGACCACAAGCCGTTGCTTGGCTTGTTTGCCCCTGAAAAGCAGACCCCCCAAGTGCTGTCTCCTCGCGTCCTCAGGTGGTCAATTTTCCTTGCCAGCTACCAGTATGCACTGATTCACCGTCCGGGGAAGGCGATGGGCCATGCGGACGCCCTCAGCAGGCTACCACTACCGGAAACAGGCCCCGACCCAGCACCTGCACAAGAGGTTATGAGCCTGGAGCTGCTTCCCGACCGCCCCATTCAGGCACAAGAAGTTGCACACCATTCCAAGAAAGATAGGGTCATCTCCCGGGTCCTGGACTGGGTGTGGAGGGGATGGCCCAGCAGCAGCCCCGGGCCAGAATTCGCTGGCTACACAACCCGCAAACATGAACTGTCGGCCCACAAGGGGTGCCTGTTATGGGGAAGCAGGGTCGTTGTTCCCCAGCCCCTCCGCAAAAGGGTCCTCACAGCCCTACACGAGACACACCCAGGGGTAGTAAGAATGAAGGCCCTTGCCAGGAGTTATGTGTGGTGGCCGGGGATCGACGGAGAGATAGAGGCCTGGGTCAAACACTGCCAGGCCTGCCAAGAATCCCGCCCAGATCCCCCAAGGGCCCCAGTCCAGTCCTGGGAGTCCGCCCGAGCACCATGGTCACGCCTGCATGTGGACTTCGCTGGCCCCTTTCAGGGGAAAACATTCTTCATAGTGGTGGACTCCTACACCAAATGGCTGGAAGTCGCACTGGTACCGTCCACTTCTACGTCCGCAGCCATCCGGGTACTACGCAGGCTGTTTGCAACCCACGGGCTCCCTGACACTCTCGTCTCAGACAACGGGACTGCATTCACGTCAGGAGAATTCCAAACCTTCACAGCGCAGAACGCCATCCGCCACATCCGTTCAGCGCCATTCCACCCTGCCACCAATGGCCAAGCAGAACGCATGGTGCGGACCACCAAGGACACCCTTCGCCGCATGACGCAAGGGGATTGGGAGTACCGCCTTGCCACATTCCTTCTAGCACAGCACAGCACCCCCAGCTCAACGACTGGCCGGAGCCCCGCTGAACTACTAATGGGTCGGCGCCTTGCAATCAGATTGGACCGCCTTCACCCCGATAGAGCTCAGGATGAGGTAGTGGTGGGGGAAGGCAAGAACCCCCGGACCTTCGAGGCTCAGGACCCAGTGTACGCAAAGAATTTTGGGGCAGGCCCAGCATGGGTACCCGCCACAGTCACCAGGGTCACTGGCCCCGTGTCGTATGAGGTGCTAACGGATGGGGGGCAATGCTGGCGCCGCCACTGCGACCAGATACGGCGACGATTCCCGGGAGAAAACCAGGAGGAGGAAAGGGCAGAGGAGTCCCAAGGGAACAGAGGGGCAGTGAGGCCCATAGAGCACGAGGGGCCAGCAGGAGAGGCAGAATCAGTAAATACAGAGAGGACCTGCGAGGCCGAAAGGACACCGGAACCAGAACCACAACTGAGCGAGCCGGTTGCGCCAGACCAAACAGCCCCATCACAGCCAGCATCCTTGGAACACGGGCCAGAACCTGAACCCCGGACCAGGGAACACCCTAGGCCGCAACGCACACGTAGGCCGCCGGCGTACCTCAAGGACTATGAATGCGACCTCCCGGGCAGGACTGGAACTTAGAGGGGAGGGGTGTTATGTACTGAGTTGAATAGGATCCAAACTGCAGCAGTCTGATTGGTCCTAGAACAATAGGATCCAAAAGGCAGCAGTCTGATTGGTCCTAGAACAATAGGCTTCAGAATGCAGCAGTCTGATTGGTCCTAGAACAATGCAGCAGTATGATTGGTTGGCAGGAACTACCCAATCATGCTCCAGATAGAAGTGAATCCACAACCTGATTGGCTTACAGTAGAATTCCGGAATTAGCCAATCATGTGCAGCCCATTGTGTAAATAAAGCAGATACTGAGGGGACATTCATTCATTCCTCCTCACCACTGTGAGCTGAATAAAGAGCATGAAATCACTTTGCGACTCTGAGTATATTTCACATATTAATGGTCGTCATGACAAAATAGCCAATCATCTTTCCCTCTTCAAATGTCATCAGTGGAACTTCCTGCATCTTGATTCTTTTGTAACTGAGTTTTGAAAAATGACATCTTTCAGTTGGTGTGATCTGCCACCTACTGGTCAAGGAAATTTCTTCCCATATAAAGTGGAAAAAGTCAACAACAGATAATTTCTAGGGTGCCCCCCCCTAAAAGTAGCACAAGTGTATATGAAATCACTGCCATTATTATTATTCATTGCTATTATTATTAGTTATTAAATTTCTATACCGCCTTTCATCCAAGGATCACAGGGCAGTTTGCAATATCAATTCAAAACTTCATCCTCTCTAATTAAACAATCTTTGGCCTTTTACACTACATACATAATTTTATTTGTATGCTGCATGTTAAAAGCATCTCAAGGCAGCCTACAACATGGAAAAAAATAATTACAAACATAATGAAATGAGTCATACTGCTGCTGCCTGCTGTATTGTTTTTGCTGTGTTTGCAGCACCAAAGTGGTCTTTGTGAGAAAGACTTCAAGAGTAAACCCTGAGGAGAAATCCTTACCAGCTGCCTTGCGAGACATCTTCAGGAGGAGAAAAGTAGTCATAAGCAATAAATAAAACATCAAAAGGTAAACAAACGAATTAAAACAATTTCTACATAAATCATAAGATCTAAAAATATACTCTCTCTCTCTCTCTCTATATATATATATCAATAAAAGCAGCAAAAAACAGACACTCAACAAAAACCCTTAAACAACACCCCAGCCCAAGAGTCTGTTCAGCAGCCTCAACTTTTGTAGCTGGAGTCATAGAATCATAGAATCATAGAGTTGGAATAGACCACAAGGGCCATCGAGTCCAACCCCCTGCCAAGCAGGAAACACCATCAGAGCACTCCTGACATATGGTTGTCAAGCCTCTGCTTAAAGACCTCCAAAGAAGGAGACTCCACCACACTCCTTGGCAGCAAATTCCACTGTCGAACAGCTCTTACTGTCAGGAAGTTCTTCCTAATGTTTAGGTGGAATCTTCTTTCTTGTAGTTTGGATCCATTGCTCCGTGTCCGCTTCTCTGGAGCAGCAGAAAACAACCTTGCTCCCTCCTCTATGTGACATCCTTTTATATATTTGAACATGGCTATCATATCACCCCTTAGCCTCCTCTTCTCCAGGCTAAACATGCCCAGCTCCCTTAGCCGTTCCTCATAAGGCATCGTTTCCAGGCCTTTGACCATTTTGGTTGCCCTCCTCTGGACACGTTCCAGTTTGTCAGTGTCCTTCTTGAAACTGTGGTGCCCAGAACTGGACACAGTACTCCAGGTGAGGTCTGACCAGAGCAGAATACAGTGGCACTATTACTTCCCTTGATCTAGATGCTATACTCCTATTGATGCAGCCCAGAATTGCATTGGCTTTTTTAGCTGCCGCGTCACACTGTAGCTAGTTAAGACTAACTAGCTAACTAGTTAGCTAACTAGACTGTAGCTAACTAGACTGAGTCAGTCTAGTTAAACTGTGTATGAGGAGCTTTTTGGTTTTTGTTTGTTACTGTATTATGCATTTTTGTGTTTTTATATTGTAAATTGCCCCGTGGTGCCCAGATGAAGGGCAGTATAGAAATTTAACAAACAAATAAATAAAATAATCATTGCTCATTCTCGGAATAAAAGTTGCTTGTAATTAGACAAACCTGCCAATAAAATCATCCTTTTTGCCAGCATCTTTGTCCCACACTGTCATATCAATAATTCCACCTCGTTCCTCATAGAGATGCAAGTCAAACTGTCTCTTCCACTGAGGATTCAAAGTTTTTGGCATAATCTGGAAAAAAAGTAAAGGGAGTTATGGAAACTTGTACCTCCTGGAACAACAGAATATTCTTTTGGTATAGTTAAGAAATAGTTCAGCAAACCAACAGCTTCATCAGACATTTTCAAATGTTTATGTAGGAAATAAGGTACACTAAAGATTAAATATAGTATGCTTTTCTGCAAAGTAGGAATTATTTTAGAATTTTTTCAGGTTCCCTAAAATGTTCCCTTAGATGTGTGCTAATAAAGTCAGTTTCTTACTGATAAAAATTCAGCAAAGCTACCTTTTAAAAAGTAACAGGATAAAATGATTAGCATATACCAGTTCTTTTTACCATTTGCATAGGAAAGAAGTTGGTTTGCTGAGTTTCTATATTGTTTCTTGCCCGGTCTTCTAAAAGGCATAGACTCAAGCATGACTCCCCCCACCATACCTTTCCTGAAGAATACAGGTAAAATGTAACAAATGCTATGCCTTCCTTCACAGAATTCCTTTTCTCAGCATAGGATTTTTTGTTTGTAGTATTCATAAACAGGCTTTCAACAAAAGAGTGCTTATCCATAAAAGTAATATACTGTATATATTTTTAAAAAACTAATTTCATATAAACAATAATCAGAAGACTGCCTATCCCCAGTCTAGCTCCCCAAAGCTTCAAGAAACAAATTTTTATTGGCATAACTAAAGTAAACACAGTCAAACCTCAGCTCCTGAACGCCTTCATTTGGAACGTTTCGCCTCCCGGATGCCAAAAACCCGGAGTAAATGCTCCAGTTGTCAATGTTTTTCAGAAGCTGAATGTCCGATGCAGCTTCCGCTTGAGTGCAGGAAGCTCTGCAGCCAATTGACCTCAGTTGTTGAACATTCAGAAGCTGAATGGGCTTCTGGAATGGATTACATTCGACAACCAAGGTTTGACTGTACTAGATCCTGTCTAGTCTTAGACCCAAATGTCCTTTTTAGAACTAGGGTCACTGTTCAAAGAACCATAAAGTTAGGTGCATACATCCGGTGTAGCTCAGGGATATGGTTCTTGAACTACATAATCCTATCCATGGCAAACCAGTTTGAAGCTCAAGAGAGTATCAACGTAAGTACACAGAGGCACGAGTGTCTGCGGTTTAAAAAGAAAAACTTGAAATCCCCATTAGACATATAAAAGATGCAGATCTTGTGTACTACAGTTCCCATCAGCCTGAACTAACATGGTCAATGGTTGCAGGTAATGACAATTGTATTTGGAGAGCTTCATGTTGGCTAGGCCTGCCTAAGGTATATGTAGTAACTAGATTTAGGTCTACTACAGCTACAACATTGTTGACTGAACAAGAATCCTTGGACTTCAGTTTGGCAGTCTGAAGAATTATTCAGTGACTCTATTTAACACTCAAAATGCTGCAAATACATTTAAAACCACCACCATTGGAATAACAGTTCAACAAAGTTACCTTACTCTTGTACTTCTGGTGTCCTAGTCGGAATTTCACATAGGGATCACTGAGCCCGTTTGGATCCATGGCTTTGAGTTCACGACCTTCAATCAAAGTGACACTGACTATCCCTCTCACAGCTGGAGGCTTTTCTGTGCAGGTCTGACAGACGTATACTCTGGGTCTGAAACTTTAGGTATAGAGAGAACTCTGATTTAGCTAGAGCACAAGCCAAACCATAACCCCGTGATTTGCTTCCCACCTGAATGGCTATTTAAGAAAGTGCATAAGTGAATACCCAAAACTTACAAAGAACAAATTAAAAAAAATATATTCACTTGGATTTCCCTGACCAAATTGGCACAGTTAATCACCATTTTATAGTGACAGGGGCATAACTCATCGGTACATTGTCTGCTTATGTAGCCATGAATTATCAGAGGAAACCCAACATGGTGCTCTCTAGATGATGCTGGACTACAACTTCCATAATTCATGACTGTTGGCCATGCTGGCTGGGGGTAATAGGAGTTTAGCGTCCAGTAGCATCTGAGGGCAACATGTTGGCATACCTATCATAGGTAATCTATACCCCGGTGCCTTTTCAAGATTAGGATTCCCATGCACTTTGTCTTCAGAACACCAGCACCACTGTCCAATTCAAAATTATTCACATTTCGCTGGTGAATTATAACCTTATATGTATGTACACCCCTATTACAGACTATGGTTTCATACATAACATGATTTCTTTTCCCTTTTGGCTACCACATCACTGGACACAGTACAGTCCCTTAAGAGGCAGAGCTGGCTGCCACTAATTTCCCTTTCCTGAGAGAGGGGGGAGATGAAAGGGCTACCACCAGCTTTGATCCAGAAAGAAAGCTCCATACAGGCTTGCTTGGTTGGTTGTCCATTAAGAGTTTCCCATGTTCCCTCTAGAGCCTAGCTTCCCCAGTCTTGTTAGCGATGTAGCATGCAGGAAGGCAACTAGATGGCAATCCTTTCAACAAGCTTGCCATTCTCCCATCATAGCTACCAAACAGCCCGCAGCCCTGATTCTCTTCCTGACCTAAGGAAACTAATCTAAACCAAGGCTACCCACACTGCTTCCAGTCAATCCCGGGCAACTATCTATCTAATCACTGACTGATGTGGACTGGCTAGTAGCACTGGGTTTGCTGAGATCTGGTGCTGGCTTCTAGGTCCCTGAAACCAAATGCAGGATGGGTTAAGAATATTCCATGAGATGGGATGTTATACCTGGTTCTGTGGCACTATTTCTAAAGGTTAGACACCATTTGGATCTTTAAACATTCTCTTTTTATATTTCAGTAGTTTCTTTTCATGTCAAAATGTCCCAAGTGAAACTCTGATTAGGAATTATGAGTACAGCTTGGGTGGCCACATGGTGATGCAGAAAGAGATAACCTAACAGTGGTCGTGGTGGGTTGTTGTTTTTTTGCAAAACCAAAACCAAAAACCAAAACCCTTCTACTGGCATTTCCGCCTGTCAATTCACATCTGCCAACCCAAAAGCTGATTACACAAAAACGAATGAAATATACTAGATATACTAATTTCACTCTGCAAACGACCTTAGCAATCAACAGGCTACATCAGTGCTCAGGAAAATCTACTCTTCCACCTGCACAATAGGGTTTCCTCCTCCCTGCACCTACCTCCCACTCCCCACAGTCTCCAATCCAGAGTGAATAGACAAATGTAGAGTAATTGAGGAGTAAGCTGCAGCATGAGAGACTGCTCAGGCTACAAACCATAGAGGCGCTACACAAGAGTGGCTAATCTCTGGTCCTCCAGATGTTATGGACTCTGACTCCCATAAGGCCCACCCAACATGGCCAATTTTCAGGAATGATGGGAGTTGTAGTCTAGCAATATTTGGAGGGCCATCCTGCTCTACACCCTGGCAATATGTTTTGAGCTTTGTCAGCTATCGCACCTGCTTCATCAGATACTTCACTTTCACAGCTACAATACAATGTAGATTAATAGATCCACAAACCACAATCTACGCCACTTTAAGCTCATCATGTAAATATGGATATCTTTATTGAATGTTTGTCTTTTGAGGTCTGTATCTAAACAAGCAGTTAATACTGTCAATTCTTTTACCAGCCTGCAGGTCTTATAAGGCCCACTAAGCTTCTTAATTTGGCCATGTGGCAAACTCCACTCATCTGACATCATATGATGTCAGGTGCTGAGATGCATTATTTCCAATGTAGCGCTAACACAGTGCTAAGATCAGAGGTAAGTTCTTTGACAGTAGAAGGCAGCAAGCAGAGACTTCTCTGATCATAGCGCTGTGGTCATCCACAGCACTAAGGTAGACAGCATTTCTCATTTTCTACAAGCCAAAAGAGGTTCCCTGCCCTGAGATATGAGATACATCTTAAAAGAAGGCACTTATTTAAGGGAAGAATTTTTTTAAAAAAAATTGTCTGTGGTATGCCAGTTGCTGAATGCCAGTTGAATGCCAGTTGCTGAAAACTACAGCGCAGTTTTGGGTGGGAATGGGGTAAACTTGAGACTTGAAAAGATATGTGAGGGTCGGATGGTGAGGACTAGCTAGGACAGTGGAGGGTTTGGGGGCTAGACTGAGACTGGTCTTCAGAGTAGAGGAACAAAGCAGCAAATACACAGGACTTTTTATTGTTGTTTTAAAAAAACCTTAAGGGGGGGAGAACAGGAACCAGCAGGAAGGAGACAGAGGGAACTGGGTGGGGTGGAAGGATTAACACACATACAATTAATAAAGAACAGAGCCACAAAGCTGCAAAAAAGTGCATGACAACCACTGGGTGAAGGCACAATTGAACTATTTTCTGGGCAGAATGGAAGTCCAGAAGCTTATTTGAATTTTGAACAGTGATTTTGCATTCAACCACTAGGGGGAGCTCAACTCCCACCTTATGTCACTCACATGCACAAGAGAACAGTGATTGAAAGGGCAGAGAGAGAGGAAGAATTAAAATTTATATATCATAATTAAAGGCCTGATAAAACAAAACTAGTCTTAACGTTTCAGGAGGGAATGCCACGGAAGATGCCCCATTTCATGTCCTCACCAGGAAACCGCTTTAAGCGGGATAAAAAGCAGGGTGTCATATAACCAACAGACAGATTCATATAAGAAGAGGCAGACTTTCAGATACTCCAGTCCCAAACAATTTAAAGCCAGCTCATGTGCATTTTGCACATTCTGCACATTTTGTGCACATTTCTGAGTATTGAAGAATGTATGTTCTTTTGCAAAAGGTAAAATAGGAAGAAACTCTTAAGGCTTGACTCACAAATGCGACTCAGTTGCATATGCCCTCTCCATAATCCCTCCTGACGGTTGCTAGGTACATAAGAGAGTCTCTGAAGACCAGGCTGTACCTGGATAAACCCAGAGCTGACCACTACTGGCACCAATGGTAATTGGAACAGGTGCAGCTATGATTGTGGAATTGCACAAGCCCAGTTAATACTGCCATTTCTCCACAGAATTCTATAAGTGGTAGTGAGAAGCGATCATGCTATGAAAATAAAAGCAGCAGGCCTGCAAGTGTGTACCAGCAACTGCAAGAAAATGTTTCTAAAAGCCAAAAATGAATAGAAATCTGAGGTTCATTATTTCTGGTGTAAGTAAGGAAGTCTATTATTTAATCTGGGGAAGCCAATGTGGTTCCTCCCTCCAGATGTTGCAAGACTACAATGACATCTGGAGAGCATCATTCCTGGTAACAGGCTTTGCTGCTTGAGCCTGATGGGAGCTGCAGTCCAACAACATCTGGAGGGCACCAGTTGGCTATCCCTGGTTTAACCTCTCGCAAACTCTTATATGCAAGTGTTCGTATAACTTCAGAGTAAAGTAGATTGAGGAATATTCTCTATGTAGATCGACACAACAAAAATGCAACATTTTGGAACTGACAACAAGTACCGAAGATGAAGCTGCAGCTATAATGCACTTTGAGAATCCTTGCCTAGTTGTGCAAAATATCTAATATGTGCAACAGAGGTTGCAGACATAGGACCCATTTCATCGTAACCTCATATTCTTCACCACAAAGGGATGAAGACTCATGCCTACCACCATTTTTATTCCTAAATTAGGTCTGTGGACTGGTAACAAAACTTAGCCTTCATTTTATGCATCTGGATGGCATGAGATTATTTACTGGTATGTCAAAAGTGAATTTTTAAAAATCAAGTAGCAGGAGAAAAGTTTGATGCAGGGGTGAATGAACATGTATGCAGGTGCGCACACTACTTAATAGTTTATAATCCACTGATCAATTCGTATATATTTCACAGCACAATGTTAGAACTAAATAAAACCATGTGTGTTTTGTATCTTTTGCAGGAAGTGGCAAGAATGCCAAACCACCGACCTATTCAGGTAAGTATTTTTAGTTGCCTGTTCAAAGCTTGTTCATACTACAAACCACATCGTGGAAAAAGGTAACCTGAATTCTGGAAGTGATAATAATAATATAATATAATAATAATAATAATAATAATAATAAAAAAAATAATTTATACCCCGCCCATCTAGCTGGGCTTCCCCAGCCACTCTGGGCGGCTTCCAAAAGAATATTAAAATACTGTGATAAATCAAACATTAAAAGCTTCCCTAAACAGGGCTGCCTTCAGATGTGTTAGACACACAAAATTCCCTTCCTCTTTCCCTACATCCAAACCTTTCAGTTTTCCAAATGTGCTTTGGGGGTCACCAAACTCTCCAGAGGCGATTG